AGAAGCGCCATATAATTAGATCACTCTCTTTTGGTTTTGGTCTACCAGATATGAATACTCATAGGATAGTCTTCCTGTAGAGAGGCCATATAATTACATCACTCTCTTTTGGTTTTGGTCTACCAGAATAGACTGGATGGCAGGGAAACATATGGACTAAAATGGCCTGCAGTTTCATAGACAGAGCATGTCCATATTCTTCTTCTTAAGCATTGTCTCTGGACCATCATACAGGATTAACCAGGTGGGCAAGATTAAAATCAATGCAGAACACGTTAAGTAGACACGACAAACAAGGGGTTGGATCTGTATTATGTGGCTCTGCTTCTGTTTCTATGTTCATTTAAGTTTCTCCATAATGCAAACAATACTTGGCATGGGGAATTCTAGTCTGTGATCACAGGGAAGGCCAAAGGTGCTGAACTAGATGAGAGTCCTATGCCAGTTTTTGGTTTTTTGTAAGCCTCCACAGTAATTGTGAAGGGGAACCTTTACCTTTGAGCTCTCTCAAAGACTGCATTTCTCTTTATGAGCTTGCCCAGGTTTTCAGATCATCAGCAGAGGCCTTTCTTTCAGTTTCGCCGCCCCCATGAGCGCCTTTGGTGGGGACATGGGAGAGGTCTTCTCTGTTGCTGCTCCCAGACTTGGAACTCCCTCCCATTGGAGGCCAGACTGGCCCCGTCCTTCCTGTCCTTCCACAAACAGGCAAAGATCTTTCTCTTCAGGCAAGCTTTGTTTTGTTGACTGGTTGACTAAAAGGGAATTCTTAAAGGGACTGTTGCATTTCTGCTGTTCTTAATGTGTTTTTAATACTGTGTTTATTTATGAGGTTTAATATTATGTTTGTTTGATTCCATGTAAGTATTGTAATAATGTATTGTTTTTAGCTTTTAATATTGTTGCTTTTTAAATACTTTTCAGGAGATCCTTTTCAGGGGAAAGGCAGCATTTAAGTATGACATGTTAGTGTGCAAGCATATCAGGCAAAATCCAACAAAACAAAACAAAAATAGACAAGAACATGTGGCATCTTAAAGATTTATTATATATTAGTTAGCCTCTAAGGCGCCACATGACAAGAATATGTGGCATCTTAAAGATTTATTACGTATATTATATTAGTTAGCCTCTAAGGCGCCACATGTTTTTATCTCTTTTTGTTTTGCTTTGTTTATTTGGATTTTATGCTACTGGAAGCAAGGATTGTTCCTCTGGACACTAAATTACACCATAAACACTGACAGTGCTAAAGAAATAAATGGATGAACAAGAAAATTGAAAAGACAGATTCAAAAGATGAACAAAAGCACACTGCAATCTGGCAGCCAAAACATGCTAAAGTCCAGGATACAATCTTTCTTCTTCAACTGCACCAATAAAATAAAATAAAATAGGAGTGAAATCTAGAAAACCTTTAATTTGATGTAAGACAGGAAGCATTCAGACATTTCCCCTCTATATGCCACCAAGGTGTGGTAGATTTGAGATGACCTCCACGGATTAGAAATTGCACCTGTTAAGAAAGATCTTAACTCTGGTCACTGTGTCTCTATTGTATACAGAGGGGAAAACGCTATACTGTACTCTTAAAATTCCTGCAGATTCTGGCAAGGGATCTACCAATAAGCAGATCGTTGGTGCTATCTAGTGGCAGACTGAGAAAGAAGAACAACCCACTCTTATATTTTTCTAATCTTGGGGACTAAAGAAGGAGGAGGAGGAGGAGGAGGAGGAGGAGTCATCGTCGTCATCTTATTTATATGCCACATTTCTCCCAACAAGGGCTCCAAAGCGGCTCACAACATTAAAATTCACACAATTAAAAACCCAGTAAGTTAAATATTAAAAGACAAATTAAACAATATATGGTTTAAAGTAATATTAAAACATGCAAAATATGATCATCCTTGTCACCCTCCTCCAAACTTGTTCCAATTTTTGAGCATCCTTCTTGAAGTGTGGTGTCCAGAACTGGACACAATACTCAAGGTGAGGCCTAACCAGTGCTGAATAGAAGGGGACTAGCACTTCACAGGATTTGGATCTGATCCTTCTATTAATGCAGCCTAAAATAGCATTTGCCTTTTTTGTAGCCACATCACACTGTTGGCTCATATTTAGCTTGTGATCCACGACAATTCCAAGATCTTTCTCACTCATTTTTTGCTTAGCCAGATATCCCCATCTTGTAACTGTGCAATTGCTTTCTTTTTCAGAGGTGCAGGACTTTGCACTTATCCCTGTTGAATTTCATTCTGTTGTTCTGTTGTGTCTTTTGGAAGTTTTTTTATTAAAGAGCTTATCCAGATGGGCGGGGACGTGGTGGCGCTGTGGGCTAAACCGCAGAAGCCTGTGCTGCAAGGTCAGAAGACCAAGCAGTCGTAAGATCGAATCCACGCGCCGGAGTGAGCGCCCGTTGCTTGTCCCAGCTCCCGCCAACCTAGCGGTTCGAAAGCATGCAAATGTGAGTAGATAAATAGGGACCATCTCGGTGGGAAGGTAAACAGCGTTCCGTGTCTAAATCACACTGGCCATGTGACCACGGAAAGATTGTCTTCGGACAAACGCTGGCTCTATGGCTTGAAGAGCGGGATGAGCGCCGCCCCCTAAAGTTGGACACGACTGGACAAAAATTGTCAAGGGGAACCTTTACCTTTATCCAGATGGAGAATTTGCTCCCCCCCTGCTTTGTGCCAGCTGTTGCCACTAAAGCATACTAGAGCATACATTTTCTCTGGCTTTCTGCCTGCACTTATTCGGGGAAAAAATATTTATCTTCTCTTTTAAGAAATCAGCATCTCTTTAAGAAATGGATTTTTTAAAAAAAATTCAAAAAGCCTGAAGAAACCCAAGATTTAAAAGAATCTTGTCTGTTAGTTTGCTTGTTTGGCTGGTGTTTCTTTGTTTCACTAGAAAACTGAAAAAAAGCTTCTAATGGCAGTATTCAGCAGCTGCAAATTTACCTTATATAAACAAGCAAACTAGCAGACAAGCAAACTAGCAGACAAGATTCTTTTAAATCTTGGGTTTCTTCAGGCTTTTTGAATGTTTTTTAAAAAAAATCAATTTCTTAAAGAGATGCTGATTTCTTAAAAAAGAAGCTAAATATTTTTTCCCCGAATAAGTGCAGGCAGTGTGGGTTGAAAACCGACCCTCTTTTCCCTACCCTTTTCTGGTACTAGCCCCACATAGTGTAATATGGCCAGAAAAGGAGAGTGACCTGGTTAGAAGCGTTGGGCTTCCTTGGTTCCTTACTTCCATGTATCCCCCATCTCTCCATGGGTACCACATGAAGAAAGGAAGCAACAAAGCTCTAGAGCTGAACTGCCAGCTAGAAATGTTTGTAACAGATTTACTGTACAGTATTTTTAATATACTGTAAATATGCATCTTTAATTTTTATTTGGATTAAAGATGCAAGGAGAGGACGACTTGAGATGAGCGGCAGCAAAATGGTTGTTGTTATGTGTAGTCAAGTTATGGCAAACCTCATGAGGTTTTCAAGATACGTGGGATATTTGTGAAGTATCTACCATTGCCCTCTCCCCTACGAGCTTCAATGACTGAGTGGGGATTTCAACCCAGGTCTCCTGAATCTTTGTCTGACTTTCTACCATTATATCACACCAACTGAGGCAAAGATGATTCATTGACAAAGATAGGAACAATATTTCAGTACAGAGAACATTTGATCATAAGCAAAGAGCATAAAAACTATAACTTGTTTATTCCAAAACAGGAGAAGATATGAGGGTGATACATATTATGAAATCTTTGGAGAGTATCATTGCATGTTCTGGATGTTTATAACTAAAATACTCAAAAACCTTAATTTTTTCCACAACAAAGGCCAGTGAATTTATACTTAGTACCTTTACAGGTTTGCTCAGGTGTCATTGTATCAAATGGGGATCAATCCCATATGAAACTAGGCCCAAGATTCCTCAAGGAAGCCATCCAGAGTCAGCTCGATGAACTAGCCTAGCATCATGATTCTCACAGCGGCCAACAAAATTTTAATGAGAACCATACAAAAAAAGTTATTTTCAGTGAAATATTTAGGAGATATTATTACAAAAAATAATATCTCCTAAATATTATTTCCTTGAAGAAGGAAATTCAGAAAGACTTGGAAGAATGGAACAAGCTACAAACCTCTATGATGGGAAAAATCTTGACAATAAAAATGATACTACCCAAAGTGTTGTTTTTATTCCAAAATTACCAATTCTATTAAATTATAAATACTTCAAGAATCTGGACAGCCTGACTTCAAACTTTGTATGGAAGGCCAAGAAACCAAGAATCAAACTTAGAATATTGCAAAACTTATTTTCCTGCTCCCCAGTAATTTCTGAGGCATCTCTGGGAGCATTTAAGTTTCTCCATAATGCAAACAATACTTGGCATGGGGCACTCTAGTCTGTGATCACACAGAAGACCAAAGGTGCCGATCTAGATGAGAGTCCTATGTCAGTTTTTTGTTCTTTTGTAAGCCTCCACAGTAATCCTATGTGACAAATATAATATCTGGTGGGGCCATTCCTGCCTAAACATGCATCATAGACTTCACCTCACCCACACCTGAGAATTCCAGAGAATTTCTATTACTTTTTAAAAACAATACTGTACAGTGCTGAGAATTTGGGCTAGCATCTGGTGAAGTTCCTCTTTTTAACATCTATTCTAGTTAATTTCTGGGAGCATCAAGTAAACATTATGTAGCCTAATGAATCGGCAGGTGATGATGACAGGGACTAACCTAACTCTGAAGCAACTTGATGGGCCATGACAACAACAAAGGAAGCCCAATGCTCCACAGATCTAAGATGGTAGTTATCCATTCTTGATCATGTCCCTTTTTACCTGCCCTTCAATTGCTAGCAAACCTCTGTGTTCTCTCTCCAGCTGGAGACCTATCGACCGCCCCCCCCCAAGGCTGTTATAAGCAGCTAGTAGAGTGAGCGGTAGAACAAACGACAACATTTGACGGGCCAGGAATGCCGTTTTTTAAAATGAGGCGGGAGCTTCCAGCGGAGCGCAACCTGGAGCTCGAATGGAACCCGCCCACGTCAGGCGGAAAACGACCACCCCGCAACCGATGGGGCCGCCTCGCTCCTCCGCGGCAGAGCCAACAGCCACCCCTCGGCTGCGGGGTTGCGGCGCTCTCTCGGCGGGCCAGAAAAGCGCGGGGAGAGGAGAGCCATGCCGGCGTGCAGCCGCCACACGGACTGCCTGGAGCGGCCCCTGTCGCGCTCTTTCCGGGCCTTGGGGGCTCTGGTGGGCGCCCACCCGTGGCCCTTCCTGCTGCTGCCCTTGGCCCTCTCGGCCGCCCTGGGCTCCGGCTTCCTCTTCGTGCCCATTCACGAGCCCAACGACCTGGAAGAGCAGTTCACGCCCGTCAACAGTCCCGCCAAAAACGACCGCCGCTTCGTCCAGGCGCGCTTCCCCACCGACGACGCCCGGCGCTTCTCGCCCCAGAGGCTGACCACTGCGGGAACCTCCGCCGCCTTTTCCTCGGCTTCTTCCTGGGGGGCGTCACGCTCGGCCCCGGAGACGGACCGGCGCGCCCCCTGCTGGCCGCCAAAGCCCTGCGCCTCGTCTACTACTTGCAGGAGGACGACGCTCAAAGGCGAGAGGACAGCCGGCGATGGCTCGACGCCTTTCTGGAGCGCATCCCGGGAGTCCTCGACTCCCTGAACTTCTCCTCCGTCCGGGTGAATGAGAATCTGAGTACAGTATTAACGAGTACATTATCACATCCCCGCAGGCGATCATGTGTTGATTGTTAGCTGTCTTAGTTTTAATGCACTTTTTGGGGATATTATATTTTTTTTGGTGATAAAATTTATAATCATGAAAAGAACTCATGACTTGCTTGAAACTAAAAATCATGAAATGAATTCGCTCCGTCCGGGTGAATGAGAATCTGAGTACAGTATTAACGAGTACATTATCACATCCCCGCAGGCGATCATGTGTTGATTGTTAGCTGTCTTAGTTTTAATGCACTTTTTGGGGATATTATATTTTTTTTGGTGATAAAATTTATAATCATGAAAAGAACTCATGACTTGCTTGAAACTAAAAATCATGAAATGAATTCGTGAAGCGCATAACATTTAAATCAATCTATACACCCTCTTTATTAGGTGGCTATCAATAATAATTGTCCAATGAGGCCTTACAAATAGTAGAGAAGGGAATAACAAAATCAATAATAATGCAATGATTAGTTTATCAGATTTGGTTTCATTTGTTAACTGAAAATAGATAACTTTGGCAAAACTAGGGTTGCAGACAATATTGGGGGCTTTTCTGTTGAAGGAGGTTTCAACATTTAGTCTTTTTTTCTCAACATAATTTTGAAATGCATTAGGAAAAGCTTGAAAAGAATTTGTAACAGTGACTTAATTGTATGAATATTAAAGTAAATGCTCGGCAAGAAAGTATTAGATAATTTGAATTTTTCCCCTTTTCTGCCCACCCACAGGTAGTCTATTTTACCTCATTGTCCAGACAGAAGGAATTGAAAAATCTTGCAAAGGATGTGATTCCGCTGGTCTCTGTTGCCTATTTTTTAACAATATCTTTTTCAATTGTATCATGTGCAAGGTAAAAAAATTTTCTTCTTAATTCTTAGAAGACAGAAAACCTACAACTATGTCATGTATGGAGGATTTATCTACATCAAAATATATTAAACCCATCTAATAGTCATTATTTGTGGAGGGTAAAGAATGTACTGACAAAGGATTTTTCCACAGTTACCTATGTAATTAAGTGTGAAGATCATCAGGAGAAGCCTTTCTCTCTGTCCCACCAGCTTCACAGGTGCATTTGGTGGGGACATGGGAGAGGGCCTTTTCTGTTGCTGCTCCCAGACTTTGGAACTCCCTCCCACAGGAGGCCAGGCAGGCCCTATCTTTGCTGTCTTTCCGGAACATCTATTCAGACTTATAGGTCCCTTAGAGCTCATTGGGGCTAACTGCGAGATCAGTGTGTGCATTGGGTAGTAGATGCCTGTATTGAAACAAGCATGCACTTATAGCATTTTGGGACAGCATGAAGAGAAAGGACTGAGAATATTTCAAACCTTCTGAACTTCTACCTATGCTTGTGTGGTCAAGACAAGTTTGGTGTGGTAAGGACTATGGTAATGTTAACATGCAATGGCACATTGTCCCATGGTCATCCCACAGTCTCATGAAGCTAGTTTAGGAAATAAGTCCTTCCTTTGATCAGAATGGGCCCATCATGTAAACCTAAGGGTGCAGAGTGTTCATTGCGCTGTTTCAAAGTTTTTAGAGATATTTGATCCATTTATGAGAATGTCAGCTTTTGTTTTACACTTTTCATTTCTATTTTGCTGTGTGTTGTATTCTTGTTTTGTAAATAAATTAGTAAATGTACTCTAAGTAGAGATGGTCATCTACGGTAAGCCGACAACTTAGATGACTTATCACAAAGTGCTTCATCTCCATCTCTAACTCTGAGTCCAGCCAAATTCTTCTTAACCTATATTACAGGCTTGACTGCGTGCGAACAAAAGTTTCAGTTGCGTTTTTTGGGGTGCTGGCATCAGGCTTGTCTGTCATCAGCAGTTTTGGACTATTGCTATTCTGTGGTGTGCCGTTTGTCATCACAGCAGCAAATTCACCATTTCTTATACTTGGTAAGTAAATGAGCGCCTAAATTCTTTACCCCCTCTTCGCATTGTACTCAACATGAACATCCATATATCTGACTCCTCAATTACGATAATAGATTTGGTATTCTCTCTCAACATTATCCTTCTTAGGATTCAGTCTTGTATAAATTTAACTGCAGATAATACCATTGGAAGTCCTTGGAACACAAACAGTCATTTACTTCCCAGACTGTATAAGTAATGTACTTTTTGGTCACAAGGTATTTCCAAAGTGTGGAACTGACTTTTTTTCAGGTACTGTATGTATATGCCCAAGTAGGAAGTACAAATTTTCTTTCAAGGATGAAAGAGTAAACATTTTACACCATACTCCTCCAAAAATGTCAGATCTGTGCCCAAATTATATGTCAGTATATTTTAAAAATTGAGTTTATGGGATACAGAAGTGTTGCCCTAAAAATGAAAAGTTATTTTTAAAGAGGTGCCTCGGAGGTTGCTGAAGAAATGAAAGCAAGGCATGAGTATGGCTTGATTTTCATTGTTTATAAAAAGGAATGTGGTCAAATATATGTGCATATCTCCTTCATATGAATGGGAACTAATGTAATACATTATTAATTCCAGCAAGGCTCTGTCATTTCCTGCGTCTCCTTTATTATTTTGTACAAATTGCCTTTAAAGAAGGGTTTAAATAAATATCAATTACTGAACATGTTCATCTATTGTATTCATATTCTATTTCCCTTCAATATGACATGTGCCTTCTTATACATTATTATCTCTGCCCTATTTAGGAATTGGTATTGATGACATGTTCATCATGGTATCCTGTTGGCAACGTACCAAAGTGAAGGACAACATCCAAGTTCGGATGGCAAACACCTATGCGGAAGCAGCCGTGTCAGTCACCATCACAACTCTTACTGATGTTCTAACCTTTTACATTGGAATTGCAACTTCCTTCCCATCAGTTCAGTCATTTTGCATCTATACCGGCACAGCCTTCATTTTCTGCTACTTCTATAATCTCACGTTCCTTGGGGCTGTCCTTGCTCTGGATGGTAGAAGAGAAGAAAGCAACAGACATTGGCTCACATTTATGAAAGTCAAGGATGAACCTCAAGATTCTTCGGGCTGTTTGTACAACGTATGCTGTGTAGGAGGATCTTTCGACAAGTCTACAGGTGCAGAAACTGAACATCTCATGAATACATTCTTTAAAAAATATTACGGTCCCTTCATTATGCACACGTGGGCCAAGGTGTCTGTGATAATCCTATATCTAATTTACCTGGGCAGTAGTTTTTACGGGTGCATTCAAATCAAAGAAGGTGTAAATCTTAGAAACGTAGCAACAGATGATTCCTATATCATTCCATATTATGATTTGAAAGAAAAGTATTTTTCTGAATATGGTCCAAGGGTTATGGTGATTGTTACTAAAAGTATAGCATATTGGGATCCTTCTGTTCGTGAAGACCTTGAGCATTGTATTGATATGATAGGAAACATATCTTATGTGGACAAGGATTTCTCAGAGTCGTGGTTGACAATTTACGTAACTTTTGCTAAAAACATGTCTTTAAATATAAATGACCGCAATGTGTTCATTGGAAATCTACCTGCTCTTTTTACTGCTAATCCAGAGTATGAGCAAGATGTGAAATTTAGTGCTACAGAAATACTAGCTTCACGGTTCTTCATACAGATAGTCAATGCTTCAACTGTAGTGGATCAGAAAAAACTCTTAACTGAACTAAGAGTCATTGCTGAAGACTGCAAGATCCCATTAATGGTTTATCATCCAGCTTTTATACTCTTTGACCAGTTCCTTGTGATAATTAAGAACACCATTGAAACTGTCATAATTGCTACTGGAGCCATGCTCATAGTTTCCTTGCTGCTCATACCTAATCTCCTTTGTTCTTTATGGGTAGCTTTTGCTATTGTGTCTGTTATTGTTGGTGTGTCTGGTTTCATGGCCTATTGGGGCATCAATCTTGATTCTGTATCCATGATCAATCTTGTTATATGCATAGGGTTTTCAGTAGATTATTCTGCTCACATTTCTTACGCCTTTGTTTCCAGTAAGAAACTTGAAACAAATGAGAGGGCAGTGGATGCTGTATCTCACCTCGGCTACCCTATCTTGCAAGCAGCAGCTTCCACTCTTGTGGGAGTCTTTGTTCTCTCAATGTCCTCTGCTTACGTCTTTAGAAACTGTTTTAAGATAATACTTCTAGTGATCACGTTTGGGGCTGCCCATGGTCTCCTATTTATTCCTGTGTTCTTAACACTATTTGGCTTTTGTAGCTGATTGTCAAACAGATGGTGCAAAAACAATGATCACTGAATGAAAACCTACACCGTGTTGAAGAACGCCAGCTTCTAGGAAGAAACTGTGCAACAGGCTGCTTTAAATTTGGAAAAGGATGCAATGGTTACTTCCATGCAACTACCTTCCCCCAAATACCTGTGAATATATAGCATGCTAACAATGTAACCTTTCTTCTGCAATACAGGAAGTCCTCTTTGAGAATACTGTACTTGTTTTAGTAGATTGTATGAAATTGTTTACTTATTTTACATTATTTATTAAAACAAATCACATATGCATATATTATGGGATATAGCAGGCTTTTGCATATAATGTGGTGCACTCTGAATAAATATAGAAGACTGTAATAGAGTATGTTTTAAATTAGTTGTTTAACAACATGCTGTTGAGCTAACAAACCAACCCGCCCGTATATCAGTGTTCTAACTGATGCTCAGAGTCAGGATTGTGGCAGCTACCAAGCAAATTTGGGTGAAGAAAATGTGATGCAAAAATAGGAAGAGGGCTGGCTGACGGTGATGATATGGTCTATCAAGTTCAAATGGGCTTGCCTTTTACTGAGATAATTGTTTTTTAAAAAAGAAATACAAGGAGAGTTTTTATCTTAGTTCAAGCTCCATCTCACCAGTAATCAAATTAGGACAATCAAGAAGAGTTGGCAGGACAAAATCATCAACAAGCATCAAATATGTAATTTTTTTTGAAGGTCTGAATTTTGGGAGATGTTTAGGAGAAAAATGCTAGTGTGAAACAAGGCTGAATGCAAACAGGACAGATTCTCATGTGAACCTGGAACCTTCTTTCATGTCTTTCATGGATATTGCAATATTCATTATTATTCTGCTGATTTCCTTTATCTATTTTCCTTAATTTTGGTATGATTGTGCCTTGCTTGAAAGGAGTACGAGGTCCTGTCTGTAGGAACACATCCCTGCGAACGACAACTTGACTGAGCAGAAGAGTAAAGTTTCTGTCCTGTGTTTAGGTAGACTTAGGCTTCTTGTTTACTCTCCTGCTACATATTACAGTATGCTTCTGCATGAACCACTTTTACTTACAAATGGGATGGATGACAGTGGGCAAGTAACTGCATAATAAATATTTTTTCAGATTTCTCACAGTGGTCTGTTTTATTTTGTTTCCTTTCAGGCTGGCATTTCTGTGCAAAGAAAACTTATTTCCCCAGGATTCAAGCCGCTATACTTTGTCACAGAGACAAAATGTAATCCAATCCCCAGTCCTTTACAATAGTTTGTCATACATGATTGTGTCACTGTACAAAATACAATAGTATGAGTAATCAGAGCTTGGAAAAGTTACTTTAAAAAAAAGAACTTCCAGTGTTGTTTTTCCAGGTTCTATAAGTAACATTAGTGGTTCTCTATAAATAAACAATGATAGTTCAGTGGTTTAGGTCTCTGGATGTGGAGCCTGACGTAGGGAGTTTGAATGACTACTTGTCAAGAGCTGGACTTAATGATCCATAGGGTCCCTTCAAGCTCTGCAGTTCTAGGATGGGGATGATATCCAAGTAACATTGCCACCTTATGCAGTGGCTTGTAGACTGCATTCTAGGGAATCACAGTGTCCTTAGGTGGGATGTTTCAGTTGAAAAGATCCATAAATGGATGGCACATGTCCTTAAAGGAAAACCAATGAATATCTATGCAAAAAAAAAAAAATGTTGGCTGCTTTGCCAATGCAGTGTGGGGAGGCAGGGTGGCCACTGGCATGGACGGCTTTAAAGACGGGTTGGAAAAATGCACAGATTATGCTCCTATCAGTGCCTACCAGCCGTGGGATGCTGTTGTACTGAGATGTCTTACTTGCGGACTTACTGTTAAGACAATTGGTTGGCTACCCTGTCAACAGTAGACTGGAAGGGCCTTTGGCCTGATCCACCATATCCCTAGAAGGTGAGACAATGCCAGGGACCCTTCATGTTTGGCAAGTATATTGAGAACTGTGACGTCCATTCCTTGGTCACAGCCTCTCTGAATATTTTCCTTCAAACAAACCTGGGAAAAGCTGGAAACATTCAACCAGCACATTCAACCAGATCATAACTGGGTGTCCTTCCCATCTGGAGGCGCATCAGGAGGAGCGCCAGCTCCGAGGAGAGAGAATGAGCATTTATTAAAATGGTCCTCCAACTCATCATCTGTGTATAGGGTATTGTGTGTGTGTTGGACAGCAAGGAGCAAATTATTTAAGCAGGGGGCAGGGCAGACAGAGTTCGAAGAAGTATCTCCCCTCTGCCTAAGATGTGGTTTTTCTTTTTGTGGTTGCTGTTGTTGTTTTGCTTTCCTGCATAAAAAAAGTTTGCTTACTGTTGCATCTCGACGTGAGGGAACGGCCACAAATGGCAACCCGCGCTTCCCGCTCTGAGGCGCCACAGTGACGCCCTCCAGGACCTGCCTCGAAGGGTGCGCGCTGGCGATTCGGCCCGAGCGAGCCACGGCTGTGGAATGGAATGCGGCCGGGCCGCCGCCCCACCGGCCAACGGACGGCCCTCGAAACCAGCCCGGAGCCCCGGGTCTGAAAGCCACCCCCCGGCCCGCTATCTCAAGCCGGCGAGAAAGCCAAGCTTCGGGAAGAGATGCCGCGGCGGGGCTGCCACACGGACTGCCTGGAGCGGGCCCTGTCGCGGGCGCTGGGGGCGCTGGGGGCCCTGGGGGGGGC